GATCAGTTTTGTCCTTGAAAGAACAAATACTTTTAGGATGTTTCCCCTTTTAGTACTGTATTGCCATGGAGCACCTTTCATTGTTGTGTTAATACATCTCAGAGGCAGTTTGCAGTCTGTTGTTTGGCTTAATCCAGAAGAATTTGGGAGCTTTGTCAAGAAAAATATGAACTCTTTTCCTACCTTCAAGCAGAGGACCAAGGCTGCTGGTGTCACTGTGCTCCCCCTTCTGCAGCAGGCAAGGCCATAGGGATAACCATGGAAAAATTGAATTGAATGAGGTCTGATAGTTTTGCTGCCTTGTTGTGGTAACCCAAAGGACACAGAAGACATGAGACAAGGGAGGGAAGGTTGGAGATGTTTGAAGAATAATGAATTTAATAACAATTTGTTATGATAAGGGTAGTGAAGCATGGGCAGAGGTTACTCAGAGAAGTGGTAGAAGCCTCATCTTTGAAGATACTCCAGGTCAGGTTGCACAGGACACTGAGCAACCTGATCTAGCTGTAGGTGTCCCTGTTCATTGCAAGGGAGATGGTCCACATGACCTTTAAACGTTCCATTCCAACTCAAACAATTCTGTGAGATCAAAGCATTTTGCAGTGACCACAGCCTCTGCTGACAGCCAGAGGTTATCATCTAGCCTTTTTTCAGTGTGGGTTCATGGCCTCTTCAATTTGCAAGGCTCTGAAATGAATTAACATGGATGTAAGGATCTGTTGTTACAGCATGTCAGCCTGTGACACTTGTGTTGGTGAGTCAAGTAAGATGTGTTACATCTGCCATGAATTCAGATGGAAAATTAATGTGGAAAATCCCAGCTGCTGTAGGAGACAGTGGGGGTACCTCTGATGTGCCATTTCCACGATGCAGCTTCTTCTGGGTCATCTTGAGAGTATGTTACAGCTAGATAGTGTTATAAAGACATCTGTAAAACTGGAATCGTATTAGTGATGCTCACATAACATGCCTTTTAGGATTAAGCATAATTCAAGTATTATTACCTGTATTTAATTTAATCCAGATTAATTGCTAATTATAGCCTGCAGGGCCAGATGCAGACATAGTCTTCCCTGGGAGGTGTTTCTGGCACCTGGCTTACTTGCTCTGCCTTCCCAGACTGCAGCACAGGCTGTTCCATGCTTTGGCACCATCTTGGTGTGATGGGCTTCCTGTGTGGTGCCAACCAGTGTAAAGCATGAACATGAATGTTCAGCTGCGCAGCTCAGTGCACTCAGTACCTTGTGATGGTTAGTGACTGCCAGGGGGCTGAGCACAATTTGCAATGGTGGCTGCAATGGATGGGAAGGAAGGAATATGGAGTAGAGCTAGGAGCACAGAAATCACTGTTCTAGTTATGGTTTTATTCCAGTTTTAACGTAGTATTTTTTACTCTCTGTCTAAAACTCTTAGCACTATTTTGTAACTCTCTTATTTATTTACTTCTCTTTTAGTGACAGCTGTATGCAGGAGCTAGTAAATTAGTATATGTCTTGCAAAGAAATGATGACAGGAGAGGGAAGACGTTTAGCAGAAAGCTCTACTTAATATACAAAGAACAGGAAGAGAAACTGAAATCATAAAAACCACAATGACCTAGAAACAAAACAAAACTATAGATAAAAAGAATTATTTCCAGTTACTTAATAAGATGAAGAAACAATGCAAAGAAGAATACATGCATATGGGGATGCATTAAGGATAATAAAAACTTACAGGATCTCAGATATTCATGTCAAATTATCACTTAGACTCAGATTGACAGAATTGTCATTGTAACCAGTCGTCCTTTATAATTTGAGAAGTAATTTTAAAATTTCAACTTAGAAAATTAATTGAATGTGATGACGAGTAAAATAAACAACAGCTCTCAGCATTTCATTTGCACATTCATGATATGAAAGACAAAGAACTGGGAGAGATATAATGAGGTCTGGCATTTAATTTTAATGCTTTAATTATGGAGCGCATATATTATGGCATCATTTGAAACATAAACAATGCTACACTTCTCAGTGATCAACCTTTCTGCCCACTGTAGTTTTTATGAGTATGAAATAATAGCTTATTACCTATTGTTAAGATTACTTACATGTCATTGATATAAAAAAAAAAAATTATCCTCAGTAACTTCCAGTATAGCTTAGGCCAGCTTCTCGTCCTCTCCATGTCTTTGATTACAGTGCGTGCCTAGTTTTTGCCACCTACAAATACAAGAGTGAGCAGTTTTCATAGTAGCATTGCTGGCTGCCTAATTAGAATAGAAATCAAGAAGCACAGGGCAATGAATGAAAGGATACTGGAAATACGCAGTGAAGCCAAGTGGAAGCATTCTTGTGAGAGGGCTGGAAGAGAAAATCATAGCAAGAAGTCCTAAAAGAGAACCTAGCAGAAAGATAGCTGCAGTAATTGAGAAAGGATCAGTACCAAGATGTAATTGTATTTCCAGTTTACGGGGGGCAATGTAAACTGACACATAACTGACTTTTTCTGCAAAATCTTGTTGCTGAATATCTTTTATCACAGCTGCAAAGAAACAGTGAAGGAAAAGACACTGCGCAAGCCAGCTCTTCTAGGGGGGATAGGCAGATTTTGCCATCCTTGTCAGGATTAGAAACAAGAGTACTTGCAACTCATATTCTTTATGTGATAAAAGAAAGTGATAATGTTAATCTGATAAATTTTCCAGGCTTATAAACAGATTACAGGATGTAATCCTCCCTCCTACCTGGGATGCATTAAGCACCATTCAAGACCTATTCAAGATATGGAATCTTGAGGTGTTGCAGGAAACCCACTTAAATTAACAACTGAAGGTAACCTACACCAATGGGGAAAGAAAGAAGCCTGATTCTCTACTACCTAAAATTAGAGAATATAGATATTCCCTTCCAGAATCACGGAATCACCAAGGTTGGAAAAGATCTTCAAGAACTTCCAGTCCAATTGTCCCACCTATCACCAATATTTCCTACTAAACCATGTCCTTCAGTACAACATCTAGATGTTTCCTGAACATCTCCAGGGATAGTATTTTCACCACCTTTCTGGGTGCTCCAGAACCTGACACCACTCTTTTAGAGTAGTTTTTCCTAAAAAACATCTGGAAAACCAATTTGTATGGGAGGAGACTTTGAGCAGTGATTATTTTCATCTCTTCTTTGGAAAACATGTGAAAATCAAAAAACCCTGACTTCTGTAGCTGGAATCAGAAACAACTGTAAAACACTGTGAAGTGAGAAGTTGGCAGCTAGCCAGTAGACAGCTTCCCTGAACTGGCAGTTATCTGCTGCCATAGCTGTCATAAGCAAAGCTATATCTCTTTTTTAGCTACAGAAGAGCTGCTAATGGGATAATGAGCAGTTTCCACTTTCTCTTCAGTGCATACTCATCATACTGTCTACAAAGTATCCCTAGCTAAAATATCAAGTGATCATTCTGCTGGTCTCTGTGTTGTAATTTCAAAGCATCTGCAATTTCAGATTAATATTTGAAAATTAGTGGCTGAAGCCCAGCATATTTAAATTAAATAATTATGTAAACTCATGACATCAACCCTGTAATCTAAAAGAAAAGGAACATTTTGTGTAAATCTCTGCCTCTCCTACAGAGAACATGCTTGTTCTCTTAGGGCTCCTTTTCCATTGATGCCACAAATAACATATATCCATGAGAATATTAAGCTACCAAGTACATACACTTGATGAACTGGATTTACTAATAACAATATTAACTATGAATTCACAGCAGTATAAACTGTCAAAAGCATTTTTAATACATTGCAGCACTAAAAGTTTCATAACTAAGCTCATTTCTTGAATACTGATAGACTTGCAGAGTTACAGAATTGTTGATCTGCTCTGATTTCTGACATGTGGAGCAGCCTAGGATGAGGACAGCCATAGCAGTTGAGTAGATGGATTGCAGAGTTAAGAGGTCTGGCCTTTCAGTGCCTCCAAGACGAAAAAGGATTTTGAGAATCATCTTCTGGGACTTGAGCGCTTAACAAGTTCACTGAAGATGCCTGAAATTTTTGTGAACTATAGTTCCTAGCCCACACTCATTATCTGTGTGGGATAATTTTCATGAACTGAACACTTTATTTTTAAAACACACGAAAGATTGCCAAACCAGCCTTTTTTTTTTTTTTTTTTTTTTTTTTTCCTTCCAGGAGTAAATGTCATATTAACACAATGCTGAACACAATTCTTAACAATCAGCTGCTTGCTGTAAGCACACACACTCATCCTCTAATGTTATGTCAGCTGAAGAAATTTACATGAACGAAACATCAGTTAAACATGGTCCTTTAAATCCATGTTAAAGCCGACAACTAAAGAGGCATAAGGAACTTAGCTATTCTCAATATATCTTGAGACTTTTTGAGCAAAAAAAGACCCTTCTACCTAAATCTACTAAAACCAGATCAACCAGTATTAATTAGCAACTTGTAAACACCTTGATTGACAGTCGAGCACTGCACACTGCTCTTGCAGTGAGCTGTGCCTTTCAAACTCCTCCCCATGTGCCCCAATAACACTGTTGTTACAATGGCTCGTAGGTTTTACATCGAAGAAGCCTAATAATAGCCTTCTGTTCTAGAACAAAAATGGTTTGCTACAGGACAAAAAAAAAGAAAAAAAAAAAAGAACACAACAAAACAAAAAAAAAACAAAAACCCCACCCTTTTGGGAGGAAAAAAGTGCAGCAAAACAGTTTTATACTCAGCTGTATTTGTTTCCATGCAGGCAGGCAGCTAATAATGTACATTTGTCAGTTCACTACTTCAACAGTGTTCCAGAAAACAGTGCTCCTGGCCATGACACATCAGGGCTGCTTTCTATGGTTTGTCATTTGAATGGCTTTCTGGGAAAAGAACATTGCAGCAGTTCTGTTTTAACTAACCTTTTTTGTGTCTGGGCCTATAAATATGAGATGTCTTTCCACTATTCTTTTACCAAGCCATATCTAACGGTGACTTGAACTAGAATGAAGTGGACATGAACAAAAACGGAGATTTCACTCAACAGGTAAGGAACTGACAGAATGATTTCTGAGCAGGGAAGCTGATATAAAATACTTTTGCACCTGCTTCAAGATTTTAATCAAGCAAATACTTTGTTGTGCTTTATACACAATTTTCTTCACATGTATGTGTTGTGTGTGGTCTAATTCTGCAGCAGACACAGATCAACTGAAACAGTTACTGATTAGAAAGCAAGTCTAGCTCATTTTACCTTCTCATGTCTTTCTTTAAAGAGATTATCAAAAGTAACAGAAATAGTGATCAAAAATCGGATTCCATTAATATTTGTAGAAGATCAGATTGGTTTCATTAATATGAATGGAACCACTACTGTTTGTTGAATAGAGACTGACTGAAATTAGAAAGTGACACTTTTGAGTCATTCTGCTGAGCTGGGTGAAGTTACAGATGCTCAGTTTTCATATAAGTGCTTTTTAAAGCTGATTTTCGTCTAAGCATTACAATGAATACTTTCAATAAAGTTAAAAATACCTGTTATTTTGGGTAGAGTCCAAAAGATCTCTTTCTGAAAAACATGAAGTATAAATGTTCAATTAAAAATGCTAGAAAGATATAACATATCTTAGAAGTAATGGTGCAGACTTCCTAAGGCTACTAGAAATTTTCATCAGGATGAAGAAATGGATACTTTTTATGCCAGAGATACACCTGCTCTGAGTCACTGGCTGCTTCCTAGACCATCTTTGTATATGAAATGAGTCACAGAAATTAGACATAAAAGTCTTGTAGATCATTAAGTCCATTTCCTTGCAAATATCTTCCAGATGAAGAATCAGTCATGTGTTAAATGGACCCTGTTACTACATCTTATTTGCACTGCTGCAAGTTGGAGATGACACCACCAGTGCTCTTTTTGGTCCAAAATGATCTTCATTTTGAGATTCTATCTCACTTAAGGGAATTTTTTTTATGGGGTGCAGGTGGCATAGTCCAAAGGAACTACTTTTAAATAACTTTGCCACAAGGACTATGCTGCCTTGAAACAGTTAGAGAATCAGTGACCTTAAGTAAAACTACTAATTGCATGTGTAGTATGAAGTCTTTGGATAGGAACAGCAGACAAAGGCAGAAGTCAGATGTAAAAATAAGTGAGCTAAACTCATTCAATTTATTTTTCCATAAAGAACATTAATAATCTTGAGCATATTTACAAGTTTCAAAGCAGGAAGGAAACTCTGCCTCTGCTCCTAATGTTACTGTCATCTTCCTGTAACCTATGGTAAGATTGTGCTTCTCTAACTGCAAAATAATCACACATACCTAATATTTATGCACTTGAAGGTCCTTCACTGTGAAGTTTCTGTAGTAGTAAATCATTCCTTGAGAACCACTTCATCAAGCAGGGTCACTGAGAGAGAAATTAGTTATAGCAATATCTTGATGATGTGCTGCAATCTTCTCATCTCTAGCTTACAAACCAGCAGCATTTGCATATAGTAGCGCACACTATTCTATCACTACAAGCAAAAAGCTAGAATCCCTCTGTATGCCCACAGTAACTTCCTAAAAATGCCTGGGATGTTCCCTGTGTTTCCCTCTAAGTCCATGGGCCAAATTCCCTTCTGGTATAAATTTGAGTAGCTCCAGCAGCTCTAGAGAAGCTACATTAATTCCCAGCAGTAGAAAATTAGTTCCAGCTGCTTGTGCTCCTTCACTGTCTCATTGCTGGGACGCAGCTGGGCAACCCTTTCTATCTGCCGGGAGAAGAGACAGAGAAAAAACTTGGACATGGGCATACTTGTTTTATGCACACTATTGTGTAAATTCTTAAGGAACCCCTCTCTTTAAGACTTGACTTTTAGATTTGCTACCACATAAAAACATTAGTTAAACCTGACCATGCCAAACAGAAGAAGCTGTAAATGGTAACCTGGTAGCAGTCCAAGTGGTTCAGAGAAAATTCCTCAGCATTTCAAAGTAGGTTTACTTTTGAAAGTAATCTCGAAAAATGCTCAAATAATGTGAATAAGGCAATTGTTGACATCATTTGAAGAAGAGCTTATGATTTTTCAAGACTGGAAATTAGTCTGGAAACAGTTCATTTCACTTTATCAAATGTGATTTTTGTGATAGAAAAATCCAAGTGAAGCAGTTTAAATAAATAACACATTCAAATGACCTTATGGTTTTTTTTCACTTTTGTTTTTAGCATATATATTTCTTTGTTTTCCACAGTTTTCTAAATCTTAGCACATTTTGATGTCTTGATGGCCTTTGTAAAATGAATCTTTTATTCTTGAAAAATATTTAGTAATATTTAGTAATATTTAGTAATATTTAGAACTGAGCAAGATCATCACAATTTCACCTCCTAACACTTATTAAATAGTGGCTAAAATTTGTTAATAATCTGAAAGAAAAGTGAAAACAAAGGTGTGATTAATACTGCAGTGCAGTTTACTGAGTAGCTGCATCATTTCTTTGGATAGCCAGTAGCAGGCACATTAGTTATCTTGTTGATTATGTATGTACAGAAAAGCTACTGCTAGAGTTGCACTGTTTCCTCTTCCACTTTCCTTCTGCGTCAGTTTATCCACAGTTATGCAGGAAATCTTTCAAAACATATTCCTTTCCTCAATTCTTCCTTTCAAATGCTATAGTGTGAGTTCCTTTTTCTCATTTTTCTGTCTCTGTTCATCAATACATTGCTCAGATGAATTTATAAACCCCAGTAGTGTTTGCATCTTTGCCTAAGGTCAGGAAGAAAAAGTAGGAAAAACAGAATTTTCCTTTTGCAACGTCTGACTTTGTCCCACAGTACACTGCAGATATATTTTGAATCATTTATAAAATCCTTTTGAGGCAAATGTTCAATAATTGTCTTGGACTTTCACCTGTTCCACACACCAGAAGTCTCTGCACTTATTATTCCTCCCAAAGGTGACACTTTACATTTCCAAATGTTCTTGGCCTACAGATTGGCAGGTTACAGATGAACTACCTGTTGACAGCTCTGCATTTCATGATACAGTTAATGTTCCACTTCAGTGCTTGTACAAAGCTTAGAAGGGAATGCACACTGATTAAGATCAATTGTTTTAGATGTATGGCTTTTGCATTGCCACAAGATATTAAATGTTTATCAGCTGTGAAAGCCTGAAAGCATGCCAGAAGTGACAGGTAGTTGGTTTAAGTAGAGCTAGAAAACTTATCTGCAAAGGGCTGAAATATCTCTTGCTTGTACTATCCTGTATTCTCTCTACTTCCTACCTGCCATTATCATATGGGAGCTGAACAGCAGGATATTGTCTTGTCATTATTTGGCATGGTTCCCTAATACACCGCTGTAATACATGAGTGTATCCCTGAGGCACTGTCTGTAATGTAGGGACATTTTCTTGTTGTTGGTCACAAACATCCAGACTCTTATGCATTCAGAGCAATGGAATAGATATCTAATAAGTATAAGTAAGGCTGTTATTTGCATGAGTTGAAATTGTCCATAACAGGAACTGATGTTTATTCCACCCTAGTCTTCCTGCCTGTTCTAGGACTTGCACTGGTCCACCTTCACCAAAATGGAAACCCTCCCAGCAGCAAATCTCCCACATCATGGGGATCAGCACAAGCTACAGTGTTGGAGCAAAAATGCCTAATGGAAGTCAGGACTTGTGGAGAACCAATACCTATCAGTGACAGTTCATAACAGATACATCTTTTAGAAAATGTAAATTTTAATTTGTTGCATAATGCAGCATACACTGCATAAATTTTGGACCTTGTATTTCTGGCAAGAATAATTGAATCACCACTTGAGTGTTCACTAACTAAGAAAGAGAAACAAATTTCAAAAGTTTCAAGGCTTTTTACTGAACATGCCAGTAAATATTTGAAAACAAATGAAAACAGAATGATACTGAAATAAACGATGGCTAAAAAAACTTCTATGTAGCTTTAGGATATCCTGTTACTGCTGCTATGCAGCAAAAAATGTAGGAGCATTTGGTAATGACATTAAAAATAATTAGGACTTTTACCGTGTTAATGCCATGACTACTACTTTTTCCTTTCTACCCTGCATGATTCCATGAAATTAAGTCATGATCACTCTCCAGCTCACTTGTACTGTAGCTCTTTCAAGATGCTACTTTACTTAATTATCCTGTCTTCTGTAAAATAAACTTCTATAAATAATAAATTAAGGAGAAAATTCTTAGGTCATATTTCCCAGGTGCTTCCCACACTGTACTGGACTTTTTCTGACTGTTGACACCCACATAAACTGCCAGACAGTAAGGCTATTTTGTGGCTCATGCTTCTAGAACCATAGAATCATATAATCCTCAGAGCTGGAAGGGAGCTTTAAAGGTCATCGCAATCTGACTCACCTGCAATGAACAGGGACATCCACAGCTAGATCAGGTTACTCAGAACCTGGTCCAGCCTGGCATTGAAAATCTCCAGGGACAGCACTCTGTATTGAGTATCTCAGGTAAAGCGTAGATTAGTGTAGATACAGTGTTCTCTGTGAAAATGTAAGAGATTTTTTTTCTTTAAAAGTAAAAATGATCGTGTTTTTTAGAACAATAAGTGCAATATCCCTTTCCTATGACAAATATCCGATGACAAAATTGCAGCACCATAGCCTCCTCTTCTGTAGAGAAAACAAACCCTTTGCAGAGTAGAATAGGTACATTTGTTATTAGAATTTTGTTAAGAATAAAATTTTCCATCTCTATTCAGAAAGAATTTGTTTTGGTAAAGATTATAATGTGGGCCTGCTACCTTGTGTTCATCAAAGCATTTAACTGAAAGGGCAGGTTTCTGATGTTCTGAGTTTGTTACATGAACTACTCTTTGTTTGACTCAAGATGTAAATAATATGCAAAATGATGCATTAATCTTCAGTCATTATGTTGAATAATTTTTCAAAGATCTGTTAGAGGAACAACTGGCGAAAATTGAGTCTACCATTTAAACTGTCAATAATGATCTTTAAGCACAGAATACAGGAATGCATTATAGGGCAGAAATGCAGATATTGTGGTCATAGTACTGGTTTCCGAAGAAAACAAATGACTTTTGAAGACTTCATGAAGAAGAAATCTGAAAATTTTAATGCTGGCATCCTCTGCCACAAAGGATGCTTCTTTAAATATTTTTCATTAATTAATTTGAAACTCAGTCTTTTCATGATAGTTCTCATAGCATCTTTCCTTTCAGAAAAATCATTTTATTTATCTGAAATTGAATTAGATACCTCTTTTATTTTAAAATTATTTGGGTTTATCCATTTGGCAGTTGGTATTTTTCCAGCTTCACTCACGGTCTTATATAACTAATAGAGATGTTAAAATGCTCAGTTATAAGCAGCTCTTGTCTGCTTTGTTATTCAGAAATGTTTCTTCACTACATTTAAGTTTTGTAATGTCCTTACTAGAGAGCTGGCTGTTATCTGCTTTCTGCACCAGCAGGAGTGCCCTGGTGAGCTCTGAAAGAAGCTGTAAATAAAACACATTGCAGAGATTCAGAGCAAGGGGGAGAGAGGAAAGAAATATTTCTGCAAGCTCTGTTTTAAGAAACAAGTTCTATGCCTTGTTGAGTGGGATAATGATGGAAAATACCATAATGGGTAAAGAATAACAGAGAAAAATGGTGATATTAATGATTATAATGGAAGCCACATAATGGTTTCCTTCCATATACATATCAGATGCTGCTTCCTTTTCTTCTAAATGTTTTTGTCTGCCACTAGAAGGGTCTATTGCCTTACCTAGACAGGCATTCTGCTTTTGTGCTGATCATTTTTTCTTCTGGAAATTCAGAAAATGTAGAGTGTGCAGATTATTCCTTTGTGGAAAGGGTAAAGAATAGTCTGATACAGAGGATACCTCTTTGTTTCTCAGTGATTTTACAGCTCTCAATTCCAGCCTGACCCAAGCAAGCCAAGAACTTTTGGCAACGTTGCTGAGTTTTAAATACATGCTTGAGAATGTATTCATGACAATTTGTGACCAGTATGGAGTGATTTCCTGGTTGGTTAAACAGTATCACAGAACCATAATTATGACATCAGAAGATGGAGAATTTGATCCCTACCCTGATATTTTGTGAAATAATTAATCACTTTTTAAATCAAATTGATATTAAAATCTTTGCTATTTCTTATTTTCTATCCTTTGTTCTTTACCTTGTCATCAGCAGATTAATCATACTAATGGAGAGACAATTCAGGCCCATACTGATATTCATTGGGATAAAGAAACATATTCTTTCTACTTCCTCGTTGCACCATCTCTATTTTCTTTTTTTTTATATCTATTTTAAAATCTGCTCCCAGCACTAAATCACTTAAATGGCAAAAAAAAAAAAAAAAAAAAAAAAAAAAAA